GCCGCCGCGGACGCCACCCGTTGTAGTGCTCGCTTTGCATTTCACGTACCATTTGTACAATACAAATACGACTACGCGGGATATTGACTCTTAAAATAAAAATCCACGTTATTCATCCCCGTTTTTGTCGTTCTAAAATTATCTTTCAGTGCTCGTTTAAACCACCGTGGTTACCGCGGTAAGTTTAATCATTAATAATTGATCGAAAAGTAAATCGACCCTTACACAGGCATTACAAGTGTACATAATACTGTACCTGACTGTAGGTATCTAATAGAAAATTATAAACAATATAAGTATGAACACATATTGTGACGTAAGTATAATTATTGAAGCAATTGAAAAAAAAACTATTTATTTAATCATACCTATTATATAATGAATGTTCAACAATATTTTCACACATCAGGTGATATTTCATATGTTAGTCATCTATATTATTCTATACACAATCAATCGGATGAAAACAATAAAAATGATATTGAGACAATCGTATGTTGTATTGGCCATTATGTATATTTCATTGTACGGTTTAAACCAGCGTTGTCAGTGTAATTTTCTATACCTATTAAATCACTAAATATTATAGTATATAACCGTTTAATTGTTTTGATGATTAAAAATCTATAATATGACGATAAGCTGAACCTAGACTGTTTTAATAGTGGCTTCAGAGTTAGTATTTTAGTCTTTAACTTTCATCGCACAAAATATACCTATTATAATATTTATTTGTATTTATTGTTATAACTAGATATCAGTAGGTTTTATAAAAAATAGTTGACATTAATATTTGAGATTAAAATAATTATATATTTATAAGTTATCACTACTTACACTGTATGGTTCTATAGGAGATCATTTAAACCGAAAATGAAATTTAAAAAAAACTGTTCATACTGTTCATAGGTGCTTGTTTTAATACAAATAATCTAGTTAAATGCGATTTATAAATTGAAATTTAAAATACATATTTGTGAAATATATCGTTGCTTATAGGATATAAAAATACATAAACACATAAATAAATTACTCTCTGAAAAATTAATTAAAATATCCATGAATACTTTACCTTACGTATTATTGACTTACAAACTCGATATTATGGTTTTCGAATTTCCACTGATGTCGCATATATTTAAATAGAACGACTATCATAATAATGTGTTATGCATATATGATGTTTTATTTAGTTTGATGTTTTGGTCGAAAATGTTCATAGTTCAGTTATCTAATGTCATCTTGGTTTATCGGTGAATGAGTCATCGATCGTCTGATCAGTCCATATATTATTGTGTTTCAGAGAGCACTGGTTCTTCCGGTTCAAGTGTCATGTTATATATTATGAGATAAATTCATCTCGTTCCTGTTCCGGAAATATAAATGCTGGTTGATACACGGGAAGAGTTTAGTATGCTATCTTTAACATTCGCAGCCTTAGTAAACATGAATTTGCAGTACTAGGTACACGTAAAGCGTTATAGGGTGACATCGGTTCTGACAAAACGCAAAACCCCGGTACAACATTATTATGACACAATATAACAATAAGTCATAGTTAAAAAATATTAAGTGAGATTAAAAAATGAAACCAGTTACATACGAATCTAATACACAACACTTGACCCTCAGTTTTAATATCTTTTAGAGTATCTTTCAGCGCATTAAAGATTTGTTTCAAAAATTTGACATGGTCTATTGTCAGTCTAACAATATTTCACTCGAAATTTTTGATTATTTTAATATTTTTGAACATTGATTATATGTTATAAAACCTTCCAGCCAATACAACAGCTGCAGTTTCATCTTAACAGACTATTAACTCATGTATCAATACAAAATACAAAAATGAGAACGGACACCACCTAAAAGTGTGAATAGCGCG